CCCCCCCCCCCCTTACAGCCCAGCCCCGGCCGGTGGGCGGGGCCTGCGTCCCTTCCCCCTCCGCCCGCCCGGTGGTACCAGCCGGGCCCTTAAAGGGACAGGCCCCCCCTCCTCTCCCGGGGAGGCCGCGAGGCCCCGCCCCGCTCATTAGCATAGCCCGTCCTCCCGCCCCGCGGCGGCCACGCCCCCTCCCCCCCCCTAAAGAGACCGGGCGCGCGGGCCCCGGGGGGGGGGGCCCCCCCCCCCCCCCCCCCCATCCCTCCCACCACCGCCGCCGGGGGGATGCGGGATGTGGGGATTTGGGATGAGGGATGGCGGGTGCCCTGGCCCGCCCTCCTCCTCGGCACCGGCTCTTCCCCACCACCACCACCACCACCACCACCACCACCTCCCCAGCCTCCGCCGGCGGTTCCACCCCCCGGGAAGCGCGGGGGGGAAACCGGCCGGAGGTGCCGCTGGCACATGTCCCCTCTCCACACACGTCCGTGAGGGAGGCGGGATGAGAGCGGGAGGGAGGAGAAGCAGCTCCTTGCTGAGCAACCCCCCGGCTCAGAGCACCCACCGGCGGGGAGATCCCTGGGCTGTTTTCCTCTGGTGGGAGAAAGCACCGGGTTAAGCAGCAGCCCGGAGCTGAGCAGGGAGGGACCAGGCAGTAATGGCAAACAGACACAACCTATCAACTCCTAAAAACGCTCAAGGGCCCCATCCTGGACAAACGCTCCGTGTCTTCGGGGGATTAGACATCAAATGTGGTTCGGTTTCGAACTGGCAGCGAGGAGTTTTGAAGATTTGCAGCAATCCCCCGCCCTTTTCAGACCGAGATTTACCCTTGTGAAAAGAGGGCTTTCAACATCCACTAATCCTCCCTCCTTCACCTCCACAAAAATGTTCTTAAAATGGGCGATCTCGCGGGCTGCGAGGAAGAGCCTTTCCAAGCACACCGATGCGGGGACCCACCGAGCAGAGAGAGCCAGCTGATCAGCTTTGCATATCCGCGATGCCTGAATAACCTGTTTGCCCAATACACCACCGGTGAACAGAAAGGCAGAAGTGTGTCCTCCCTCTCCCTTTATCCTCAAACGACCCATTCTTTGTCCGACTCCCACCCTGCCCAACTCCCACTTTTAAATAACCCAGCTCTTCGGAAGAAGACCCTTTCAGCGCAACCATTCACACTGGGCGTTGCTCTGGCAGATAAAAGCACCTCCTCTCTCTGCTCAGCTTCCCACCCCTAAGGGGCTTTTCCACTTTTTGCCCTGCTCTTCTCCTCCCCTTGTCCATGCCCGCATGGAAACACTGTTAAAGAATTCTTTACAGCTTCCTGAGTGGGAATTATCACCTCTTTCCCAGATACTTTTCCTTGAGGGGGATACTCCCTAAGAGCGGGGTTTCAGTCCCTTCTGATTTGCAGACCAGAGACCCGAAGCAGTTCCCGCTGAACAGACTTTCAGCCTACTGACACCTTTTCCAGACAAGTCCCTGGAGCTACAAGTTCCCAGGATCCACTACCCCCGAAGGTGAAAACCTGTGGTCTCTGATGAGTCTTTCCACCTCCCCTACTGACGCCAGCCCCACCTGCACTTTTCCAGTGATCCCGGCAGCGCCTTCTACAGCTGAAGTGCTGGCTGTGAAACCCAACTGATCGGCTCCACTGGAACCACCACCTTTGCTGCCATCGGTTCCACAAACCCTTTTACACCTGACGTACAAACCCCCCCTGTTTCTACACTGATACGGGCCACAAAATGTAACACCCACTATTGCTCCCCTCCCTGACGCACCCCCACACTAGAGGGCTGAGGCCAGGAAAGGCTGCCCCAGCAGCGGGTGTGCAGGGCAGACCAGCCAGGCAGCCATCCACGGGGAAAGGAAGAGATGTGCCTCACAGTGCCTCAGACAGAAGACCCGGTCTCGCTCTCATCGACACCAGGAACCCGTCGTGGTTTGCTTAAAAGGAGGTTTGTTTCCCCTGGGCAGGAGAGGCTGGGATTTTTCTAGGGAGAGCCTAAGGAAGCCAGGCAACCCAACTTCCGTTTTCCAAAGGTACCTTTGAAAATCCTACCCCGTCCTTCGATCCCAACACATGCGACAGCAGTGATAAAATACGAGGTGATAGCGGGACTGCCTTTTTTGTTCTCCTCCCTCCTCTGACCAGTACTTCGCTGTCTTGTCCCTTGAGGAGTCAGACCGGGGAAAAGGAGCACAAAATGCTACTAGTTTGCAGATGCTGCGGTTCCTCCGACTCCCCTCCCATCCCCCCGACCCCATCCCCCCACATTTCAAACAGTTATAAATGACTGTGCAACTCTGCAGGCAGCGGTCTCAAATAACCACACCAAGCCTCTCCCCTCCAACGGCTTTAAGTCTCTTCCTTCCTCTCTTCGGGGCTCCGGAGAGCAGCTATCAAGGTGTTTTGCTTCACTCTCCAGAGTTAAGTTGCTACTTCACCCACCACCTTTGGGAATCCGCCACGGCAGTGAATTCCCGAGGCAGGAATTCTCAGCTGAGAAATCCCTCCCTCCCGCTGTTCTTGAAGGGTTTTACCATGGGAACTGACAACAACAGGCTCCCGAATGATCTAAACTGCGAAGACAGGTTGTAAGTCAGGATTTCAGGTAGCAGAGCCCCCCCAGACGGAGGGATGGTCAGTGCCGGCCTCGGCAGCCAGCCCCCCGTTTTGGGGCCTTGCCCTCCCTTGTCCAACCTCATAAAAGCTGCCCCAGAGAAGCCAGCTGTCCCGGCTCTTTAGAGCACTCCGGCAAATCCAAGAACATCTTGGAAACATTACAGCTCTCACCACACCGTGTGCGCTCCCCTCACAACTCCCCGTCCGCAGCAAGGACAGGAGATCGGCCCGTCTATTCAAAAGCAGGGTCCTCTTCCATTAGAGCAAACCAACCCCAAGGAAAGTTGCCACAGGAGCTCCAGTGCTGTGGAGCAGACAAGATGGCCCAGCCAGCTAAATACATTTGCATGACACTTTCTGCACATGGTTCAGAGCATGGCACACCCCAATCGCAGTTTTTATTCTCTTTAAGGGCCCAGCCCTGCAAACACTTAATTTTACATGTGTAAGTAGAGTCCCACTGAAGCACAATGGAGCTACTCATGCAAATAACACTGAGAGCGTGTAGGGCTGTGGCTCTGTTTCACTATTCCATCTGCAGCAGACCCACTTTCAGAGGATCCTGCCATGCTCTCTCAGTTATTGCCGCTCGCTTGTGCCAGCTAAACTATTCATGTAGCTACACTCACAGGTGAGCTGCTTCAACAATCCAACTCTTTTTTAAAAGCCCTACTAAGAAGGACAAGTCCTCAACGCCAGACCAGCTCTGATGCAGATTTCATCCCCACGAGCGCCTGAAACTGGCACAACTGGAGGAGGTGGAAACATCTGAGGAACAGGAACTTTTGAAGATGGGATTGAGGGAAGGCGAAACGGCGACACGGAGCCTTAGCTTGTGAGGGTTGGAGGCATTACCCTCTTCTGAAGTTACACCCTGCTCCTGACCATCCACTCTCTGAAGCGGAACCTTCTCCAACCACACAGTCTATTCCACATGAAACAAGTTTCACCTCAAACGCAACAGCAGATTGGGCCTTTTCAGTCATTAAAACTTAAAAACCTTGCCTCGAGAAAAGCCGTCACCAGTAAGAAGGATGTTTCACCCAGGATCAGGGACGTGCACTCCTCCTTGCAGGTAAAGGCTGTCATCACCATGAGCATCTGCAGCCAGTACATTGCTGCTCCTGCAGTCACAGGATCCCTTGCTATTAGCTTTGACATGGCACATTTGGGCCATGCAAAATGTTCCCTACATTATTTTTTTTTTTTCCAGTTTATGGGCTATTTTATCTCCAGCAACTCTGTGCTTAAATTGCACCACATATTTCCTGTCTGCTGAGGCAAGATTTCCCTCTTTTCAGTGCAATTATAACCTTCCAGCAGGGAAGCTCCACTAACTCCTTAAGAGCTTTGCTCTCTGTAGTGCCTCCCAAACTGCATTCATGTACACCTGAGCAAAGTGGGTGTAAAACACCGTCACTGTTGGAAGTGAAGCACACACACCATTAGGAGGATGTTTTGCTTTGTTTGTTTGCTTTAGGCTTTGGGGTTTTTTTTGCTCTGGTGTAGACGATCAGAGAAGCTGCAGGACAAGAGAGAGATCAGGCTGTATGAAACCATTTTCTTACCGGCTTTGACTTTTACAGGGCTGCATGCTCTAATGAGCCTTCTCGAAAGGAAACAACCCATTTCTGTAAGGAATCCAGGTGATTATGGTTTGCATACCGCCGTGATCTCTCTGCATGGGCACGGGGGAGCTGCCTTCATGAATCTTGCTGCAGGATGAAGTCTAAAGCTGGACAATGTGAAAGAGATGGGAAAGGGCCACAGGGAGGGGTAGTTTAACATCCATTGTTA